TACATTCCTATGCCTCTATAGGTATAACATTCAAATATAAAATTCAAGGTTTTAAAAATTTAATATAGTTTACCAATAAAATGCAATTTATTTTGGATAGCATACAAATAAATTGCCTCGTGCCTATCAAAAACCTTATGCAAGTATCATGGTTTAAACCCAGTCAGGCAACTTGTTCACTCACTCCCCCCCTTCTTTCCCTCCCCCTACCCCCGGAGGGATGGAGAGGAGAATCAAAAAGATTGCAACTCCCCCAGGTTGAGATAAGAACAGTTTAGTAACTAAGGTATAACACAAATCACTACTGCTACCACCAGTAATAATAACAATAAAGGAAATAACAAGGGAAGAGAATACAACATCTCACCACCAGCCGACCGATAACTTGCCCCCCCAGCCCGACCAAGCTCTGACCAATACCTCCTCCAACCCCGCAGTCCCAGCCCTTCTGGGTCACTCCCAGTTACATCCTGGGCATGACGTGCTGTGGTATGGAATACTTCTTTGGTCAGTTCGGGTCAGGTGTCCTGTCTCTGCTTCCTCCTGGCTTCCCCTCCTCCCTGGCAGAGTATGAGGCTCACAAAGTCCTTGGCCAGACCAAGACATCAGGTCGAAAGTCAAAACACAGCACTGCACCAGCTACCAAGAAGGAGAAAAATGACTGCTACTGCTGAACCCAGGACAGCAAGCCATAATCAAAATGCTAATTAAAAAAAATTAATCTAGTCACCCTTTTCAATTTGAAGAGAATGGGGAGTGATTGTAATTTTCTGATGTATCACAGGAATAAGTAATCTTAATTAAGCAATCTTAATCTGTAAAAATGAGACCAATTTCTTATCCTACTGGAGCAGAATGACTGGTTGCAAGCTACTTGGATAATAGTAAAATTTAGTTAGATGGAGAAAAAGCTTTATTCTGTGGACAGATGAAAATTTGGTCACCAGGGAGTTATCAGAAGACTTGGAAATGTATGTTATAGATAGACATTAAATGAGAGAGAATCTCGTGGTAGTCACTAGTACTTTTTTTTGCTAAAGTCAGTATCTTGTTAAATGAAGCTTGGTTGCTGTGTTTCCTCCCACTCCAGGTGGACTGTACGGGAAGGTGGATTGTACAGGATCTACCTAGTCTGGGTTTAGTAGCCCAGTGCTCTGAGAAGGTCATAACAAGTTCTTCTTTGTAAGTTTCTCTTTTTTTGTCACTTCTTACCACTGACAGGAAAACACAGAAGAGCATGCAAATCCTTGCCAGGTAGTATTGAGTTCTCCTTTATGAAATGAAAGAGTGATAGGAGTATTCTGTCATTGGTTGGTACAGGACAGCAATGCATTTATTGGACTGGATGACCTGAATGCAGTAACTGAAATACTTAATATGGTAACAAAAACAACAATAAAAAATAAATTAATACCAAGTGCAGTGCTGAGTTGGAATCTGTGTTTATCTGTCAGTAGCTGCTGGTGAACTGGTACTCTTCATTCCTTGCAGCATAATTTAGCAGATCCAAGAAAGGAAGGGGGCAGAACTAGTACCACACAGTTGAGTCCCCGATGATGTAAAAAGAGGCAAATTATACTTTTCTGGGCCAATACGCCTAGGCTCTAAACTTCCTGTTGTATTTTTTTAACCACTTCTTACTGTGGTTTTCTTCCTTTAGTTTTAATATGCAAATTACCAGTCAAATCTATTGATTGTTTCATCTGCATCCATGTAAATTAAATAAAACGGGAGAGAAAGCAGCTGTCAGTGGAAGCTGTGCTCATTTAATGACTGTAAAATTTGACCTCAAGCTAGGCCTCCTTTTATTTCCTTTCTTATGGATAAGGGATTTGATGGAACCATTTTGGTACAGTAGCATTTCAAAATTTTGACATGCATTTAAATAGACATGGACTGCATACCAGAATCTGTACTTAGCCTTTCACTTAACCTGAAGACCTATAAATTCAAACAAGAGATGAGCAAAGCATTCATTAAAATGTCTTGAGTGAGGCCTGCCAAGTAAGAAAACCAGCAAACTGCCAGACAATATCAGACCTAAAGGAGACACCCTTGGCTCTTGCTGGGTATGGCAAAGAGTTGTAGTAAGATACGGTTACTACAATGTAGTTATTAGGAGCTAAACTACCCTTTCTCTACTTTTGTGTTTTAAATGCTCTGATTTAGAGTAAATGTCATAAATGCTGCTGATATATACATTCAGATGTATTAAATGTCCTTCACCTGTGATATGTGGCAGCCGGTGACACCGCTGTCTTCTGTGACAAGTCAGTGCAGTACTGCTGGAGGCAGAGCAGCGCTACTGAGAAACCTGAGATATGCTTTGTCTTCGGGGCTCCTTTTCTGTTAACTAGATAGATGCCCCACACTGATGATCATCTCCAGAGTGCAAGATCTGAAGTACAGTACTGGATTCTGGGACAGCAGAAGATTAATCTGTTACTTTTCTCTCTTCAGGATCAGTTGGGATTGTTCTAATTTATGTCAGTTTTGAGCTGATGCCTTACAGTATCTGTGCTGTTCAGATTAGTCCAAGCATAAGGTGCTTTGGGTAAATTGCTTTTCTCATGCTCAGATTGGCTTCCAGCACCTCTCTCCCTGGGGTGAAAGGAGATTTAAGACCATTTTGTGACTGAGGAGATGAGGGTTTCGTTTACTACCAGCCACATTATGGCTTCTTCTAAGGATTAGCCCAGAGTAGAGAAGTGAAATACTTAATTTAGATACTACTCTCCTTCTTTCCTCTTCTTTTTGAAATGGTTTCAAACTCTGTGCAACCAGATACGTGAAATATATATACATTAGTAGGTGTCAGGCTTTTTTTTGCTGGATTTTTATTTGTTTATTTATCTTTACCATGTAGGGGTGAAATGCAGCAGGCATTTAACAGAATGAAGTAGCCACTGTTACGGACAAAGGGAAAAACAGTATCTCTTTGCAACTGCATAGGAAATTCTAGGTATGTTTCTTAGAGTTAGTCAGACTTTGACCAGGATGCCATAATTAATGGCCTTAATGAAAGGCAGGTCTTTGTTGCTTAGGTTCTTAATACCAACTATATGCGTATGTTCGTCCCACTGTCAGAGAGTGCTGTGGCACTATGAAGGTATCACTTTTTTACCTTTTTATTTGAGCTGTAGGTATCCAGAAGTCCTTTATACCTTGGCACAGTGATGAGTCCATGAACGATCGTGGACTACTTTCATTCTGTGTATGTATTTTTGATCTCCTTACTTACTGGGGAGTCAGTACACTCCCCAGATGTTGCTGCAGCGGTGGAGGAATATTTAACTCACAATCTTAGTTTTAATTATTTTTTCTAATGTAAGTGAAATCATAGCTCACCTCAGCATAATATTCTGTTGAGAATGTGAATTTAACTAGAAAATATTCTCAAAGCTAAACTTCCACTTTTTCTTTAGATGGATTCTTTTAATAATGTTTTCTGATTCTCACAGGTGTGGGTTTTTTTTTGTGTTCTCTGTCAGTGCGACTTAGATATAAGCTCTTATTTTTTTTTTTCCTGAAGAAAATTTCAGCAAGTTGATCAGTTGTTGCTTTCTGCTCCATTACCCATTCAGCTGAGTTTGATTTGTGTTGGTAGGAGTGGTAGAATGTAAGGAGCAGAACAATAAATTGCTGGTTTTGCGTGTCTCCTGACCAGAAGCGTTGCTTAGTTAGCTATTCCATTCTTCTTATCCTTCCAGTCAGGGCAGTCTGTACAGAAATGAATTTCTTCATCAAAGTGAGAGAACATACCACTTATAGTGCCACTTTCATCCTGGAAATAGAAAATTACTTTTCCTCTGGAAGGCACGAGCATTCAGACACATCTAATGTCTTTGCAACTCTTAAAGAAAATGAATAAATCAAACTGTCAGGCCTATAATCTCTGTCCAGGAGCTTGGTGATTCTTCCAAGGCTCAATGTGCAGAACCAGAATCTTGTGTCTGTGAAATGACAGTCTTGTGAGTAAGCAGAGGTCACTGTTTCACAACTCGTGAAGTGTGTCATTGACCTTTTTAATATGTCTGAAACATTTGCTCCACAAATATACCATGTGTTGGCTGATTGAATGCAAAGACTGAGTGAGGATTGAAGGTTTTTTCTTTCTTTTCCTAGTTAACCAAAATGTGTATGGTAGAGAACTATGGTAGAAGAGAAACAGAAGTGAGTTGAAGTTGTACAGTCATTGATCAAATGACCAGTCACTGAAAAGCCAAAGCATTTGCAGGATCACACCACTAACAAGCATCTATCTGTGATTTTTTCAGGGCCTGCTTTGTCTACCAAGGTTTTGAGTAGCATAGAGCCACCTTGTAAAGACCTCTGCTGAGGAATGATTTTATTGCAAACAGAATTACACCAGTCTATAGTTAGCCATGTCTAGTCTGTAATCAGACTCAGTGGGGCAGATTATGTGCTCTCATAAAAGGAACATGAGTGGAGAAGATTGGCAGGAGAAAACAGCAGCTGGCTGGATAATCAGTACTCCAGGTGGGCAGAGAGATATTTGATTTTTTGTTTGCTTGTTTCTGAATTCTTTTCTTGAATTTTAGGCCAAGAAATAAAACTGTGCCATCCTCTAGATACAGCACTGAGTCCTTTCAGATCTTAGGAAATTGTTCATTTGCATTTATCTGCTTGATTGTTTTCTTATTAATAGTGGTTATCAGATATGCTATGACATCAGGAGTGGTCTTGCAAGTCTGGAAAACCATAACCTTCAGGGGTTATGATTCATCCATGTTTAAAAGAAACATTCAGGCATTAAACCAGAGTTTTATTACTGAACATCCTGAGATCCCTGGATCCTAGCTTAGTATAGGGGAATGGGGTATAAGAGTAGAAAGCAGATGACGAGATGTGCTGTATCTCGCTGAAGGGGCTGGGGAAGTAGTGCTGGACAGCAGAAGCGAATGTTTTGGCTCTTGGCTGTCACTGGTCTCAGCCAGGTGAGTTAGTTTGTGTTGATAGCAGTGCTCATTTGTTTTGAAGAGCAGATGCTGAGGATGGGCATATCTTTATTTATGTCCCCTTTGCTGTGGGTGTGGTGCCTTCTGCAAGTAGGGAGGAGTGGCAATGAGGAGCACTACAATTTAATGCTGTTACAGCTAAAGTCAGTAGAGTATGAGAGGGAGAGAGTAAGCTTTGTAGAAGATAAAAAGTTGCAAGGAGGAGGGGAAAAAGCAAAAGCAATCAATGCTAGTTTCTTGAAGCCAGTGTCTTGACACATTAAGTTCAGGTAGGGTCATTGTGTGTAATAGTTTTTATTTTAAAAGTAATTCCTGATTATTATCTGTTGAGTCACAACTGTGTTCTTTTTGTTTCTATGCTCAGCCTGGTCCTGGCTCATAAAGAGGGAGCTTTGAAAGTTACCTAAAAGCTGTTGGATTAATCAGCATTGGAATATAGGCTTTGTATTATATAGCAGCCCAAAGAAAGCTGTGGCAAATATGTGCTGTCTGCATCAGTGTGGTCTCCAATTGCATGAAAAATCTGCTGATTAAATTGAAGATAGCTCTAAAAAGATTGTTAATAGTGTTAATTCCTCATCAATACAAATCCTTTGAAAATAACTGGCTGTCCATTGCGGCATCATGTTAGATATATTTCTGGTCACACAGTGTCTGCTGGCTTTGTGCTACCCCCTTGCTTCCCCATGCTTCTCCCATGCTTCCTCTGATCCCTGTTATTCAACACAAAATAAAGCCTAGCAACAGTAAATCCCACAATATGCAGATTTTTGTCCTATCTGCACCTGCAGAGATCTGCTGTGAAGGAAATATGGAGCTATCTATGCCTTATTTGTTGATGAATCTTGTAAGTTAGAAAGTATGGATTTGTACTTCATTTATAAATAAACCCATGCTATGCTTGTTTTTATTTTTTCTAGGAGCTCTTTGGTTTGTGTCCTTGTGAGAACACCAAATTAATACCTTTCCTTATCCTTTTATTTTGGGACTCACATGTGTTTTAATTCTTCAGTAGCAGAACTTGATGCCTTAGTATTTTCTGTCCTCTGAGGACATACCATTCTCTTATTCTGTATAGGCTGTGGTAGAAGTCTAAAGGTTTTATCAGTAATCCTCATTAGTTTCCATTTAAGGATACACATCTAGACTCCAGAATTTCTTCCTTGGACACAGGGGCCGTTTGCAGTTGAATAGGTTGTTCACTGTGTTTTAAAATTTATAAAATTCACAATAAGTGGTTGTATATTGGTACAAGCTGGTTCCTATTGTGTCTGGACACAAAAATAGAGATGCAATCTGTCATACTGAGAGTTACCTGCTGTCTAATCCCAGGGTAAATCTGAAATGATTTTTGAGTCATTCATCTAATACTACCCAGAAGTCCTATCAGTGAGCTGGTCTCTTAATCCCAGACGGATTAATTTAGGTATAACGTGTGCTACTATATTCTGCTAATCCTTTATGTGATCAATCCTATTTTAGGTTTTTCAGTAAATAAATTTTTTTCTTTAACCCCATCAATTCGTGCACGCAGTTTATTTACTAGCTATCATTTAACTGCCTTGTATCTGCATCAGTGAATTCCATCTGAGTACATAACAGTTCTGGATAAAGAACTGGTAGCCGTTTGAGCATAATACTTGGGAGAAACTTCCATCTTTTTACGGTTTTTGTGAAATACAGGTTGATAAGTTTGCTGTCTTCAAAGGAATCCTAAAATTGCGACTAGATTAGGAATTGATAATAAAGAAGAGATAGTCAGTAGTCAAAGACAGACCATAAGTTTGCTCATCTGTGTATTACAAATATAGCCAGTTGCTGGAAAAATATTTTGGAAACCAAATCTAAATTAGTTAGAGTAGAATTATTATTTTAGTTTTAAAAGTCTAGTATGCATCAAAGCAGCTTTTCTTGTTTTACTAGACTTGTCTGATTATATACTCTAGGCAAGTTATTCAGACTTTGTCCAGGTGAAATACGTGTGACTTGTATTGTTCCTGAAATTAAATACCTGCTAGTAAAATGAGGCTGAGTAAACAAGAAATAGGGTTAGGTTAATGCTTGCAGTAGGGCCAGACTTGCTTGAAGGAGTGAGTTGATGGCTGTGAATGCCCTGGGAGAATTTATGTGGTGCCCTTCCAGCAGGTGTGGTAGAAGCTGTGTTCCCTCCTGTGTTTGCCCAAGTGTGTTCACACAGTTACTGCATTTCTGTATTGCTGTGTGAAGTTGCATTTAAAATTTCTGAAAAGGACTGGCTTTTCTTTTTCCTTTCTGTAAAATGGGTGAGTTTCTGTTCTAGGAATAGATGAATAGCTCTTAGATGGCATGAACTGGAGATAATGGTCATTGTCATCTTTAGTACTTCAAAAGATGCAGTTGTAGCTTTGGTTTTAGGGATTTAAGCTGCTGTGATATAGCCTGGAGCCCAAGAGCGGGCTCTGTATTTTAAATAACCTGGCTCAGAGCTTTTTGGTAAAATTATCTACATATAATTAGCTTTCGTACAGGAATATGGGGTTTAACTCAAATGTCCATAAACATTGGATTAAGTACCAAAATACTTTTGTTATTGAATCCATGTAGTGTTTCGCTAGTGTTACTGTTTGCATCTCCTCTGTATAGGAAACCAATGGTTTGTAAAAACAAACTTGTACTGTTACAATTATGTGCAACCTCTTGTTTACTTGCCCTCCTCCATAAATCACACGATAGTAGAGAGAAGAAAATACCAGCTACTGCTCTGTTTGTTCTTTCACAGTGACTCCAAGTGCAGTTTTTCTTTAAAAGCCATATACTGTTATTAGCAGCCATGTTACTGAGATTGAGAGGGGCATGCAAAATGAGGAAAAATATTCATATTTACTTCAAGTATGTGTGAATAACATCTGTTCTTCCTAATAAAGACGCAAAGACCAAGTATCTTCAGAAAATACATGCTAAAAAAGTTTGCTGTGCTTTTCATAGGAGAAAGTACTATAATTTCATAAATAGGCCCAATAAATTAGTGTTCCATCATAACTTTATGAACTTAAGCAAAGTGTCTTGTAAATAATATAATCTCAAATAATTTTAAGTGTTTTAAATGGACTAGTTAGAAACCTGTCTTAAGGATGTAGAACAGAATTGTTATATTAGCTTTTCCTGTTCTAGGCCGCGAGAAACTGCAACTTTTTGTCTTTTCTGCTTATATTCTGCACATTTTTAAATTTTGCATTCTCTTTTAGTAAGTGGAGCTTGTTTTTCTGTCAGTGTCTCCTAGTGACAGAGATAGTGTTTTCTATTGTTTCTTTATCTGAATTGCTTCTGACTTCATTTTACATGTGGGGAGTGCAGAGGGACAGGTTTATGACTGCTGCTTTCATGCACTGTCATGGTTTTGTTTATTGTTGCTTAAGAAAACTGACAAGCCACTATTTGAGATTTGGAGCTTTCTTATTATGTTAGTACCATTGCAGTTCTAAGTTTTGCTGTGAATATAAAACTAAGGTTTTTCATACATTTTTTTGTGTATGAAAAGACATTCATAAGCCCATTTCAGTTTGAATGTTTTCTAACTTCAGTTTCTAGTAGGATACTGGGATTTTTAATACTAGAGGAGTATGTTTAGTAGCTTTTAGAAAGAGGGAATATTTAGAAATAAATCTGCCCTGTATTTTCCTGTGAGAATGCCTATCCCCAACCCCACCTCCTTGTTAATGGTTAGAAAATGAGTCACTAGAAGCTCCAGGTAACCCATGGCAGTGAAGGTAATAACCTGTTTTACTTTAGGGCAGGGTGGAAGGAAGACCTGGTCCTACAGAAAGGATTTGGAAATTTTAGCCATTAAAAATGTGCCTACTGGAAGAAGAGTCTTAAAAGATGAACTGAAACTATAATTTGCAGAAACAGCTTGCTGACGTTGAGAATATATGCTGTTGCTGAAGAATTTAAAACTGAGAAATGTGATAATCTGCATAATGCCTATTTTTTTTTCCTTTAAAGTATACATGAAAAGAGCTAGGAAACCCAGCGTAGCGCAACAGAAAAAGTGATGTAACTATACAAAACAGTGGCTAATTAAAGTTAAGTGTAATAAATATTTCTGAGAATAGCTACTGGTTATGGCTGTGCCAGCTTTGAATGAAACTAAGATTTTCTTAGGTGAAGTACAAAGCTGAAACACTTCTGTGCAATTATCAGGAACTTGCGGTATAAAAAAATTGGAACTGCAGCATGTTAAGTTCGATATCACAACTATAAGATAGTAGCATAAGAGTCATGACAGAACATGGATATTGAAGGATGCAATGTTTTCAAGAAAGCCAGAAACAGGGGTTATTGAAAAACATTATAATACATGATATTTTGCTCTAATAATTTAGAGACAATATAAGTGAAATAGAGCCCTATGTCAGTTTAGTGAAAGGTGGTAAGAGACTGCTATGGCATTGGTAGATTCCTGTATTAGATGCAGTGCTGGATCTGGAAACAGGTAATTGTGATGGAGTAAAAATTGAAATTACTTAGACACACTGTGAAGAGAGTACCTTCATGCATACCAGTGTCTCTGATAATGGTAGGTAGGGCCAAGATATTGTGGTTGAGACCTCAAACAATTTTTAAATTTGAAAATAAAAGGTGGGACCAAGAACAGCTGGGGCTGGTTTGGAATACTATAGTTTTAACACAGACTGTGTGTATCTTGAGTATTTATGTTTTCAGTCCTGTATATTTTCTTCAGAAATGGGTTCAGGGGAGGGTTATGAGGACTGGAAAGCATTCCCTACAGGGGAATGATTAAAAAAAACAAACCCAAAGCTTGGTTTGCTTTGACACTTCTGTAAGGGAAAGAAGAGAATATAAATGTAACTTAAAGGTCAGTGTTGGCATAATAATGTGGCTAATTTGGACATTAAGATATGTAGGCTGAAAATTACTGAATGTTCTTGCCGTTCAACCAGTCAGGTGCTGGAACGACATTCCTTTGGGGATATTGAGAGAAAGCTATCTAGCTGCTTTTAGGTTTGAGCTCAATAATGCATATTATGAAGAGGATTTTAATCTGATGCTGTATGTAATAGTAGGTAACTCAGAGTTCTCTTTTGGTTTGTTTTTTTAATGTGGTTGGACTAATCCTGTGTCCAGTGTGTGCTTTTTGGGTTCCACTGCCTGACTGGTGTCTGTAAGCAGGTAACCAGTAAGTGACTGGTTG